TTTTCTTCCCTGTACTGAGTTGTTAATTTCTACCTATTTGTACATACTGTTAGTGCTATGAAGTAGCGTAAGGGGTGTCACCTCCCCCCAGTATTCTTCACTGCTAGACTTTTCACAGCTTTTTGGTTTTGTTTGTCCTTTGTTGAATTTTTTTATAGGTCCTGAGATTTTTTGGATCTAGAAGAATGCTAAATGATTAAATATCTTTGTCAGATGCATCCTCTTCGTCAGAACATTATATTCCTTTTAAAAATAAATGTGGATGTTTAATGATTCAGTTTATATGAAGCTTTATTTTGAGGCTTATTTGGCAAGATTGACTGAAGGACTCGCGCTGGGAAAATGCCACAGGTGTTGTAACTTACGTGCTTGAATAATTCACCTGCAACCAGTAGCCTGAATTTTCAGTTCTTGAAATCTGGCTTTAAAGAAATTAAAGCCTTGTTTGTTTGGTTCTTCTTTGGTATTGTGTTTTCTCTGTAAACTCTATGAAATGTCCTCTTGTGATTTCCTGAGTAAACTGTTAAGACCAAGTACAAAACAAATTTCCAGTGTTGAATCAGACTTTATTCTGATTAAGAATTACACACAGTGTGAGCTGTTTATAAGAAAAGTTATTAACTGTGTATTAACTATAGGCTCCTTTAGCAAATTATTTTTTTCCTCTTGCCTGAAAACTGATCTAGATTTTGAGATCTGCTCGGAGATATATATATACATATATATTACTTTCTTCTGGAAAGTATAATTAGATTTTAATTATCTTCTAGTATATTACATGAGCCCCTAGCTATGTTATGTTGGCAAGGTATGGTTGTTTAACATCTTGCACCTGAGGACAGGAATTGTTATTTTGTTGCTCTGATGAATGAACTAATTCAAATGAGAGGCCTGTAGGATCAGGAATTGTAGTTGTTTTTTAGGAGGTGGTAAGGTACAGATTATTTAGAAAAATTAACAATTTGTATAGTTTGTGTCTTCTCCCTGCTTGTGTTTGAGATCTTGGGGGAAGAGGACATCAGAAGATATCTCTGGATAGTTGATTATTTTTACGTGCTCGGGATCCGTCATATGTATGATGCTGGACATCAGAAGATATCTCTGGATAGTTGATTGTTTTTACGTGCTCAGTATCCATCATATGTATGATGCATTGCAGGTATATTTGGAAATATATCTTAATTTTCTTCGTGAGAACATATGCAGTACATACAAGACCTTGGTTTTGTGTGCAAATGCTTGCTAATCCCGGTCTTCTGTGATGCTTCTTGAAGATGCCTGCTGCCTGTGAATCAGTGCTTGAAGATATCGAAGATATTGTGTCAGCAGAAGATTTGAAACCACACGATCGGCAGTTTGTAAGAAAGAATGTTTTTCCCAAAGTGCGAAAACGCCATTCACAGAAAAATATTGAGATGGACGATGATCCCCCAAGCGACAGGTATGTTCTTCCATCAGCCTCGTCTTGTTGCTTTTCTCATATCTTGTGTGTGCTGTTACCTTCCAGAAATAACATAGGAGTTCTCATGATCTCATAATGTAAGATCTGAAAACAAGATAAAAATGAGCAAAATAGCGTGTATAAAATCATAGAATCACAGACTGGCCTAGGCTGGAAGGGACCTTAGAGATCATTTAATCCAACCTCCCTGTCATGGGCAGGGACGCCTCTCAGCTGGATCAGGCAACACGTGGGGACCGAACGGGGATGTAGTGATAATGGATAATAAATCCTGAGTAAATTTTTTGTCCTAGACAACTTTCTGTAGAAATCAGTTATGACCGAGGTGTTGATTAATGGAGTAATCAAACTGGAAAAATGGCTCCTGTAACTTCCTGTACATCTTTTAACTTGCCTTTTTCATTCATTTTTACTCAACAGCATTATTCCCGGTGCTCAGAAAATCTGGATTCGTACGTGGGGATGTTCTCACAATAATTCGGATGGTGAATACATGGCTGGACAGCTGGCTGCATATGGGTACAAAATTACAGGTAACAATGTCAGACTTAAGTCACTTTTCTTTTTTTTTTTTTTTGGAAATGTTCAGAGCTGTCAAGCTGTAATCAAATGTCGTTAGGCTTAATTACAATTTTTTTATCTCCTCTTTGATCTGTTTCTGGTTTGAAGGCCAGGAGGTAAAGTGTTTTCCTGGCAGGTGAGCAGAGTGGTCAGGTTTTCTTGATGCAGCAGCTATCTCATAGATCGAACACAGCGCCCTTTGCGAGCATTTTCCTTGCTAAGCTGAGTTGAAAAGTTACCAAAAGAGTGGAAAGGAAAGTTATCATAAGAGTGGAAAGGAAAGATATTAATTCTTGGGCAGAATCTAGCTGGTTGTCTGATGGAAGCCGAGAGAGGAATGAAGTCTGTTGTCACTTTGTGTTTGCTGCTGGGGCAGAGGTGAACCTCTCCACAGGAGTGATCCTTTGTTTCGGGAGGGGTGATCTGTATGGTGGGGGTGGGATGATACAGGGTTAGATGTTGGACCTTCGAAAGAGCTCAAAATGCTCTTTTTCTTTTCCGTCCAAACGCACTCCCCATCCTCCTGTTCTGCCTCTGTGACCCTAAACAAACCCCCCAAACTTATGGTTGTGCCGTGTTTCGTCTCCTTCATACAAATCGTATTGACAGAAAAGCTGTAGAAAGCAGAAAACGTAGACTGATGCCATATTTCAGTGGAGAATTATTATCTGAATACTTATATAGCTTGTGACTAGTCAAAATAAAAATTTAAAATTTATTAATTTGAGTTTTGGTCCATCTTGCGTTTAAACTTGCATCCTGCTTGGACTGAAAGACTGTGAAGTTGCCTTTTCTGATGTTTTGCTCTTTTATACCTGTTTTCACAAAACACTTGTTGCTTTTCTTAAACTATCTCATGATATCATTAAACAGCTACATCTCATTTTACTTTCTCTGTAGTAGATCTTTCTGTATTTATCTAAGTAGAAACTAGATGGCAAATTATTCAAGTGCTGAGCTATTTTAAGGAACCCAGGTGGTGCTTTAATTAGCAGTGCAGCTCTGGGACAGGAATGCTCTTTTCACAGGTGAGTGGAATGCTGGTCCCGGCAGCCTTATTTGTAACAGCTGGTTGTGTAAGACGACACATGAGTTTTCAGTTTTGTCTCGTTACGGCTTTCTTAAATTGAACTTCTCTAATGCATCGTGTTCCAGAAGCTACTGTTGTCTTGTCAGGATTCAGATGGCTGTCCAGTGCTTTTGGAATTTTACTGGGAGAAAGGTAGGAAAGCTGGAGTGCTGTGAAGGAACTACCTAGGATTTTTGATCACTTTTCTTATTTTAGAAAATGAAGTGCTCTTCATTTTGGAACAGAAGTAAGTCTACGTCTAGAATCTGAAAGTGAGGACTAAAAGCTGAGTAAAATTTGCGGTAGCTGGGATAGGAATACCTCCAGAGGAATTTTGGTAGTCGTGTGTGAAATTGACTGCTGGTTTCTGGTCATAAACTAAATCAGAACATCGACTTAATTTGTGTATATATATACACATATATTAAACAAACTTAACAAAACTGCAATGCGGAGGTGGTAGGCAGAAATCACCCAGTGTGGTTTCTCGTTTATGAAATTAGACAGCTTTTTAAGCTGACAAATTTAAAGTGCTCTGAAAATTTTGTTTTTGTTTTTGGCTACAAATTCTGGCTAAAGTAAATTTTCCCAAATCCATCTGGTCTCCTTGATGGGCTGTTAACGAAGCTGGAACTGAGTGCAAGTGTTGCAAGAATGGTAACTGCATGTGAGAATGCTCAGTATAGTGATGCTTCTGGCCACAAGTGCATGTCTTTCATTAAGGGGAAAGATTATCTCTTGTCACAGTATCTTGGACAATGGTAACTTAAATTGTTTTGATTTGACCTGTTTCCTACATGTTACTCAGCTTTTGAGTCAACAACTCTTATTGAAGAGCTGCTGGAATAAAGTTCTGGTTCTAGGAAACAAAATTTGAGCTTTACTTCCAGTTACTGCTCCGCTAGAAGGGAAATGTTCAGACAATTTCTAGTGTCTTCTGACTCTTAAGATTAGAGGGAAAAAAAAAAAAAAAGGCAGCATCAGACAGACTTCTGTTGCTAACCAGAAATTGTAACAGTGCAACCTACCTTGTAAGTTGACTTAACTGAAAATTGATATCATGAATATCTTCTAATTATAGGAGAAAAATGTGTTGTTGTTGGAAAAAATGTTATTTTGATACTGTTCCTCATCCCCATCTTTATTGTATGGATTCCACCTTGTTCTTGATTTGAACTCTATTCAGGAAATGCAGGTGTCTTCCCTCCCCTGTTGTTATTTTCCCCTTGCTTTTCATCTGTTTCAAAAATATTCTTTCTGTACCAGCACCCTTTGTTGCTTTCAGGAGTGGCTGTATCCAAAGGTGAAAGCCAAGGGCTGTGCTGTGATTTTTTCACAGCAAAACCACCTCTGTCTGGGTGTGGTGCAAAGCGGCCCCATTACTGCCGTAACAGCAGCGCTGCTTAGGCATCAGGGGCTGCGTCAGCTTCAAAAAAGGCAAAGGAAAACCAGCAGGAGACCTGAATGTTTCTTTCGTATCTGCTTTTCCAACGAAGGTAGGCAGGATTCTGAACAAACCATCCTGTGGGATGTCAGCCTGAGCCTCGCAGAAATGTGTGGGCCAGCTGCTCGCAGTGTAGGGCTGGACCAGGCGCTTGGTCGTGGTCTGAAACCAGCCCAGCTCACGGTGTTCTTGGCTTCTTGGCAATGTGACTTGCTGTGTAGTCCAGACACACCTGCAGACCTGCTGGGCCGTTCCCTTGAGGTACACCCCGAGGGCAGAAACTCTCAGGGTGCAGACAGGTAATGCCTGCTGAGAAAAAGAGGAAGAGGGCAAGCTGGGTGTTCTCACAGGCTGTGGGCCACGTATTTGTTTGGGAAGGGAATTTACTAAGTGTGACACTTCACAGGACTTCCTCTCCTAAAAATGGAACCGGCCATGTCTAGTTAGCCCTGGAAGGAACTGATTTGTGAAGCGGGTAGTTGTGGCATCTAGAGCTTCTGGTTCTATGGAATGAATGGGTCCCTGCATTTTGATGGATCAAGCAGCTGGGTGGGCTTGTTAGTTTGTGATAATTGCTTTTTGGCTTGAGGCTCTGCTGGTCCAAAGCATTCCCTCCCCAGTCCTTGTAAAACGTGCTGTGGGGTGGGAAGACATTACTAGTGATTTACGAATACCAGAAGAACGAAGAGTAACTCTTGTTTTTATGAAGAGGACGCAAAAACTACTTCAGCAAAGCTAAACCAGGAAGAGCTTACCTGCACTAGGCTTTGCTTTTTTTTTTTCTTTTTCTTTTTTAATTTTTATAAGTAAATGCTAGCATGGAACTTTTTCCTCCTGTGGCACAGCATTCTAGAAGCAAAAAGGGATGGAGGAGTTCCCTTGCTAATTCAGTGGGCCTGACTTTGATTTAGCACGTAGAAACTAGGTTATATTAAAGACCCTTAGCTTTTCTTGTGCAATTTTAGACTAGTCTTTGTCCAGGCATCCTTTTTACTGTCTTGTGCAATTTTTTTCAAGTTTCTTGGGTAGAAAGATGCTGTTTTTTCACGGGTTCCTTCCTCTGCCTCTTGCAGAGCTCGTTCCATTACTGTGATTATGGTATTTGTTGGCAGGACTTGTATCAGTGAGATTTGCCAATTCCTAGCTTAATGTTTATAGTCCTTGTTGTATGTTTTACAACTCTGCAGTTCACTGTGCAGAGTATTGATGTAGTTCTCTAAAGCAAATATCAATATTTTGAAATACTGTTAAGGAAATTATCTAGTTTTTATTGTCTCTTCTACTTGTTAATTTGCTAAACACTTGTCAGTTTTGTTTGCCAGTGGATATAGCTGAAGTATCCTTAAGACTGTCCATCTGCTCGAACAGCGAGTTTGAGTAGAAGAAAGAAGGAAGAAGACAAGGAAGAACAAATGTTCTGATCTGCTTAAGACTTCGTGTTGAAAAGAAGGCGGATGTGAAGGGAAACTTCCTGAGCCTGCTGGTGAAAAAGCGGATGAGGTGGTGCAAACTAACGCAGGCTTTGGCGTTCAGAGGCATTGCCAGTCGTCGTTACCTTGTGCCAACTAGCGCTTTCTTAGGCTCTGGCTGTCCCCATACAGGCACAGCATCCATTTTATTCATCAAAGTGGGAAAAAAAAAATGTCCAAGACTATATGACTCATGGTTTTTGAGTTGCAGTTCAGAATGTGGTGCTTTAAATGTTGTTTTAAAAGTCCTTTTCTCCTGCACAATAAAATTTTAATAATGTTAGAGTTTGCTTCATTTTCTTAACATAGAGATTTTGTAAACAGGTTACTGTATTCTGTACATTTGTTAAGGTAAAATAATCTCTCTCCAGCCTGTCTGGTGGTTACTGAGGTATTTTGACTGAGGTTTTTGCTGGTTTGCCGGCGTATGCTTTTAGTTGCTCAGAATCAGCAGTTAGTCTTTGCATTTTTCTCTCTTCACCCTGCTGATAATGCTTCTCTGTTGCTTCCTAAGTATCAGTAAAACAGTCGTGATTACCCTGTAATTTCGGGGTGCCGTGAGGCATGCTCGTGGTGAGGTGTTTTTAGTATTCTTTTTTCCTAAGCTTAAAGACAGATCTTTATTAGCTGCTCATGAAGTTCTTGGTATTTAGCCTTATTGATCTGAGAATTCAAGTTTAGTCTTCGCTTTTAGATTAGCTGTGAGCGAAGTGCCAATTTAGGAAAAAAGAAAAAGATACTTCTGTAACTCTTTTGCCTGTGTGTGAATGTGTTTAAATACACAAAGTAACCCAGACTACTTTCTGGTGATGGGAGGTGTTTCTGTTTTCTCTGACAACTTTACAGTGAAACTGTGAGTGTGTTTAAATACACAAAGTAACCCAAACTACTTTCCTGGTGATGGGAGGTGTTTCTGTTTTCTCTGACAACGTTGCAATGAAACTGTCATTCTCTGTGAAGCAGCTGAGCAGTGGAAAAAGGTGAATCGAG